TGCTTGATAATGCAATCAAAAATCACTCCCACTGCAAGCATTAATCGGAGTAATTCAAACCGTGCTACAGGGGCATACACATCATCACAGTCAATTCCAAATGTTTGGTGATGATGTGTATGCCCCTGTAGCATGGTCAATAAGCTCGGATTCAGCAGTAGATAAGGCAACACAAGCTTGCTTACTACTATACCATGATATACATATATGGGTAGTATGTCGCGAAAACAGACCTGGAAGTGCGACAGCCGTACTGTATGTTTGGGGTAACACAGTTTAATTACGTTTTTATAGTTAAACGTATGGGTGCGCGGACTGTACTATATATAGCCAATACTACTACGAAGTACGTACTGTAGTACTATATTGGCTATATATAGTACAGTCCGCGCACCCATACGTTTAACTATAAAAACGTATATAGCCCATACTAGTACTATACAGTACGTACTTCGTAGTAGTATTGGCTATATATAGTACAGTCCGCGCACCCATACGTTTAACTATAAAAACGTAATTAAACTGTGTTACCCCAAACATACAGTACGGCTGTCGCACTTCCAGGTCTGTTTTCGCGACATACTACCCCGGTAGTACTAGTACTACGTAGTAACTCGATCACTTTTGACAGTATACCCATTGTCAAGATACAATCGTTCAAGACTCACAGTCAATAACGTGTCCGACCATTGATGGGCCAACTTTTTTTCATTTTTAATCTCAATTATTTTGGTTGTTTTTTGTTTTCCGAGTGAGAATGATACATTTTCGGATAGGTAATGATGAGTACTTTATGAATAACTCGAAGGATATCGACTTAAACAGTTTAGGAATGTACAGGATTTTTTTGAAGTCGAGCATTTTACACAGTCGACCATTGATGGGCCAACTTTTATACTTGAATTAAGTATGAAGAATGCAGGTGTCAGTTTTTTTACATCCAGCGAGAAATAAAAGTTAATAGAGGTTTACCAAGTCTGAACAGGTATCACGTATTGGAGTCTCAGTTGGAAAATAACATTTCCAATGTTATTGGCACACATGGAATAATATACACCTCATATTGTAACTCGTTTGTGCAATATAGCTCGTTTGTGCAAACGTTGGTAAGTATACGCAAAGCCCAGTTGTACCATACTTGGACAACCTGGTTTGTGTGTCATTCAGCAATATTCCTTCTAGTGCCCATTGCGGGTGTCAGCGGCGTAAGTTTCATCACCACCAAGTCTGCCTGCGTCCGTTCCGTACCCTCACACTGTAAAACTCCTCTACAACGGGAGTAGGTTGGGTCAGGGCAAAGGTTAACCAGTGAAGATTATTCTTCGAGGTGGGCACCGTGCCTAAGGAATCTGAATATGGCATAAATCATAACAGTTAGTATAACGTTAACAAAAAAAAAAATTCTTGTGTCTTTTAACTTCGAACAATAACAACATTTATTAATAGCATAAACAATAATAACATTTACTCTAGTAACTGTCCTTTAACTTGAAATTGCAAACAATACCAACCACTTTGCAACTAATCGATTAGATTATTCAAATTTATACTACTTCAAAAATGTTGACCCCATTGTCCATTCCTACAGCGCTTCATACCGACAATCCAAGTAGCCAGATCTTCGTCGTACTGCCGCGGTAAGATGGGTGCTCGACCGAAAGATGTTGATATTTTGATCACGCCGGGGTCAGCTTTTGCCAAATGCTTCCGAAGCGTCCGCGATGGAACGCCATAGGCCTCCGCAGCAGTTGATGCCGTGTGTACTTTGCACAACACATCGTGGACGGCCTTGCCCATGGTGATCTGCGTGTATGGCGTTCTTAGCGGCATTTCGTCGGTTCAAAAATTGAAGAACCTTTGATATGTAATACCTTTTCCCTCCATTTATTCATGCAGGTTAAATTTGTCGAGAGGTTGCCTTTTGTCCAATCAGAGTTAATTGGCGTTTTAATTGGATGAAATAAGTTGGTCCATCAATGGTTGTTCGGCCCATCAATGGTCGGACACGTTATCAATCATTTCCAATCGGAGGTAGTATTTGGCAAAATATTGGATGTCACATACTACCGGTAGTGGCGCGGATTGTGCTTACTTTTATAACTTTGTGTCATAGGAAGTCGGCAGCAAGGTTTTCAAAGGGAAAACATCTACTATTAGGAGTATACAGTACCAGAACTGTACAACTTGGTATGTTACCGATGATTATGTGAAATGTGTATGTCTATTTGGCTGAATGGTCATCACTTATGCTTATCGCTTACTAGTACTAGTACTAGTTCTACACTGGTAGGTCAATACATATGGCTAGTATATACTACTTATATATACGACCATCATAAGCGACAGCCATTCAGCTGAATAAACATACACATTTCACATAAACATCGGTTACATACGAAGTTGTACAGTGTAGTACTAGTACATACGTAGTACATATGTATAAATAGACCTACTAATAGCGACACTAGTACTGCAGTAGTAGCATAAGGGATCATGATTCAGCCAAATAAATACACATACACATTTCACTGGTACGGTACTGTATACTACAGTTGTCCTCCAAGGTTTGCTGCCTGGTCAAAACGAAATTCCCGTATAAAACAATACCATATAAACTTTTGAAGGGTTGATTTGAATTTACACGAGGTTTAAATTTTTGAACATGAGGCTGCATTCACCTCGCTTTGACAGGCTTAAGTTATGAGAACATTTGAGAATATGCCGCAGTGCAAACAACAAGAAAAGCGACTCTCGATTCACGCGAAGAACTTGATTCGGGTATATTATGCGTCTCACGTGCCCATTAAGTCAACCGCCGTGCAGCAGTGGGTCGCGGAACATTTTGGCCACACGCTCCACATCACGACCATTCGCTGAATCCTGAGGGACAAGCGCAAGATCGAGACCTATAACATAAAGGAGGAGTCGGCAAAGGGTCGGTAAACTTTCAGGGGCCAAAATACCCTGAATTGGACAAACAAGTTGCCGAGTGGGTGGTCATGGCGAATGCAAAGAATGCATGCGTGACTGGCGAGCTAATCGCGAGGAAGGGGCTCCAAATCGCCACCGAGCTGAACCTACAAGATCAAGTCAAATGCTCCCATGGGTGGTTGTACGCTGTTGACGTACTGACTGCCATGAAGTGGTCATTCGAAGCCTGGGAAAACGTCACGTCAACGACGATTCGGAACTGTTGGAACCATACAGGTATTGTACCCCGAGAGACCTTGATGGAGCACCTCCAGTCTCTTCAGATTGGCTCCGGTCATTTGCTGGAGCGATTGCTTAATTGAGTTTGATGTAAATGACTGGTAATCCACAAAAAAGCCTTCAATTTCAATATTTTGTGTCACCTTTATGTGATCAACTTCCTGCAATAGTTTATGTCATTGCATGGGTGCAAACCTTGGAGGACAACTGTAGTAGATGTTTTCCTTTTGACCGTGCTGCCGACTTCCTACGCCACAAAGTTACTATCTAAATTCATCTGACGATAAGAAACGGAGATATATACATACATATCGGGTTGTAGTGCTTCGAAGTAGTTACTTAAGTTTGGCTCAATTCCTTACAGCTCAAACGAGCTTTGCACACATGCAAACATACCGGTACCAAGTACTAGTACTACAGTACAGTACTTAGCAGGTATACGAAACACATGCTGATGATACCGGTACCGTACTTGTCTACCCTATCTGGACTAATTCCCCCCCCACAGCAGGGGGTGCCTACCTTCAAAACTCCCCAGACCTACCTTCTTTGGGGGAATTTTGGAATAACGGATACTCGTCCGGATAATCTAATTTCTTCCACAGATAAGTCCGTTAGCCACCACCAACGGTATAAACCATTTCTGTTATGAGTGCGAAGCCGAACAAGATAAAGTGCATGATGGACGAGTGTGGTTTCATCACTCCGTACACGCACTTTACAAGCCACGTAAAGGCAAAGCACAAACACGTTCGGAACATCGGAACATACGTAAGATGTGGTGATGAGAACTAAACGATAATGGTGAAATGCAGATGCCCGGGCCGTCGACAAAATGCAACGACGCCAAGCCCATGTTTGACCCACCAGGAACGCGAAGCCTGATCAACCAAGAAAATCACGACATTGCCATTCAGTTGGCCAAGAACAATGCAGTTGGCGTGGGGGCGCTTCGGCTATTGCTTTTCGTTTATCGCAAGCTGGGCGGCAATCCAAATGAGCTGTTGCAGCCCTTTTTGCGGTACCGTGATGACGAATCGGGTGACTTCGACGATGGCGAGCAGCCTTCTGGTGACGATTACGGCGTGGACGGCGACGACAACGAACATGGCGGCGAGTTAGTACCCCCTGTAAAGCGCGCTGTTTCATCAGTTTTGGATGGTGCCGAGTTGGAAGCACCCACACCAAAGCGTCCAGTACCATTGAACGATGATGCCATGGTTAACCGACGCTAGGCCAGAATGGCAAAACAATTGCTTTGATTGGAGTAATACGTTTACTTTCTATGAAGTTGAAAACTATTTCGAGTACTACAGTTTTCACAACTACATAAATGTTTTAAAAGTTATAGAAATTCTAGTTATACTTCAGCATTTGAATTTTGTTAACATTTAAGTAGTTTACTATACCAGCATTTACTGTAAACAAAGAGGTTAGTGACGAAATAATTACTACATTAGGCGCTCCTAGCTACGCATTCCGTTTGACCGTTACGCTTTCTCGTCTTCGGACCGGGTTTTGATGGGTTCAAGTCTGTTCCACAACAAACACTTGGAGCCTGTGAGCGAGGATCGCTGTCGAGGTCTTGTGGTGGCACTGGTACAACATGCGACGCATACAGCAGCTTAAAACGAGTCGCTGAGTACACGTCGTCAAAGCACAACATCGGATCCAGCTTCATGGCATTGTAGCAACGAATGGCATGGATGTAGGGCTTCTTCGTGTCGAACCACGTGCGGCACTGACACGTATTTGCCTCGAGATCAACCAATCGCCAGGGATGAGGTGTTACAGCTTGAGAGTCGAAGTACAACGCCAAGAATGTTTTACCCCGCTCGCACTCTTCAATCTATATATGTTTAAGGAATGAAAGGAATGGTGTATCGTACCACAATACTTCGCGACTTTGTTAACAGCGTTTGGTACAGCTTATGGTGCACCGGGGTCATCGATCCCTCAGGCCACTTCGCACTCTTGATTCTACATTATGGCATGCATTAAACATGAACTAGACAAGATCATGTACAACTTTTAGAAAATCTAATCCTTATACAAGTTATATAAGTTGAAGAAATACTAAAACCTATGTAATTTATGATATGCACTAGAGTATTGAACGAATACCTTCGGTCGTTAATGTTTTTTTAGGAGATGTAGCATGTAACGGAAATGCAGCATTACAGCATCCGAACTGCGGAGCTCAGTCCCTAACCACTGGTTGGCTGACTCGCTCATGTTGGATTTGACATTGCCAAACGTGGACCCCGGGAACTCGTATGTCACCCAACGTTCGACAGGGATTGTCAACAAATAGTCGGCAGAATCTATTAGTCATTACAATAAGTTAATCAATAGATTTGTGTGGTATTTACCAGGGTTTAGCGCTCGTAGTTTTTCCATGTGCCGTGTAAACGTTCCATGGCTGTCGGATCGAGCTAACTTGAAAGCCAAGCCTTCTTCAGTACTGGACAGGTGCCGTCCTTGCGCCGTGTTGATGTTGGCAACAATATGGCGCAAGCAGTATCTGTGTGGAACGCCAGGACATTCCGCTTTGCAGGCGTTGGTGAGACCTACACAACCAATGTATTTATCACCTCACTTCTACTTTTCCCTCCCCAGGTTAAGCCACTTACAAATTCTGAAAGTTATAAATTTAAAACAAATGATGCAAGTTATGAATAATGTGAAATGTATGAAACTTTCAACTCTCAAATACCTTTTAAACGATCAGACACAAGGACAGTGCTTGACAGCGGAAGTCCAGCGTCTTTCAAGCATCCCAAAAACCAAGCCCAATGCTCGCCGTACTTGACTGGTGCGACAGCAATCCCTAATTAATATAAGTATCTGTTGTAGTTTAATGACAACGTACCCAATACGATGAGATGATTGATGCTATCTTTGGTTGTTGCAAGTAGCATAACTCCATTTGAATTCATAAGATCCTTTAAATGGGCTCCTACATGAAACGCCAATACATGAATGTTTGTAAATAAAGTTACACAGCTTTACCGTCAAGCGCGATAAAATTCTGACAGTTCTCAAACGCATTAATGCAGAACTTCGGGATGAGCGCGCTTCTGTAGAATGATCCCAATCTTGTTTCAACAAAACGTCCCTGGATTGCGCGCCTTCAGGAGCTCAAAGTAGCTCCCGACTTTCTCAAACGCCATGTCCACTGAGCCGTACAGATGTTTCACGAGTTCTCGCTTGGCACGACTTGCCGATTATGTCGATATCGTGTCGCCGCTTGCTCGCTGAAAGTGGCCAATGATTTGCTTGCCGGTCAGTCGTCGTGGATCGGAAACGAGTTCCATAATGTTCCCATGTGTTTGCAGTATTTCCACAATCTAATAGTTTAATGAGTTTCACTAGTTTCAGATGTTTAACAATGTGTAGTACTACTACAAATAATACAACATACCAACCCTTTTGAAACAGCAGGGTGACATTTCACCCCCGTACTTTGAAAATGTGGGTGATTGTGTATCAAATTCATCGATGTGATAGACGCAACCTTATCACATCTCACAGAAGATCGAACAAAGAACTCGCAACTCTCCGTAGAACAAATCCACTTTGCTGTTGTCGCATTTCGATACTTCTGGCGAAGGCGAAAGCTTGCTTCAAAGTGAAAGTGTTTATGCACTCCTTCAAATGCACTAGGCTCCCGAAGTCGTGACCTTTCACAGAATTCAAAACACTTCTTGAGACGTACTCGTGTTCGCACTCAGGAGTCCTTGTGAAGTTCATCTCTACGGCTACAAGCAAGTATTTGTCAGAAACGAAGCCACTCATACTGTAGTTGTGTAATTGCAAATGTTGTCAATCGTCACCACAACGGTTAAAATTATGACCATTCGGATAGATTTAATGGTCCTGACGATGCGTACCACTGTTCTTACCTGTGCAAGAAATTATATTATCCGGACGAATATCCGTTATTCCAAAATTCCCCCAAAGAAGGTAGGTCTGGGGAGTTTTGAAGGTAGGCACCCCCTGCTGTGGGGGAATTAGTCACCCTATCTGTCAGAACTACGAATAATTCCTTCATTAACACAGTTCCACTGTTGTTACCCCCAAAACGTATCGACTTAACCAGCCTTATTTATGAAATGCGTAGGGAGATTGCCTACGATTTCATATTTACGCAATGAAAACACATACACGGGGTGCTGAAGATGGGTCGCTTGGAGGTAGGGGCAAGTTGTCCGGGTCGCTGCTGTGAGAACCGTCAACGGGGATGAACGTAATAGATTGGATTGCTTGAGTGTCGGAAATTTGAAGAACCTGAAATTACAGAGTTGAATTACTCGAAGTTGGTTGTATTGAATCTAGTTATCTAAAACTTGAGTGTAGCGATATTCTTGGTGAAGCCACTTGGAGCGAAGACGTATGATGTGATTTTGGAACCAACACGCGTGCAAGCAACATGCAATTGCTCGTGAGAGAAGCAGGGAGTTTCCAGGTTGGAGCCCATGACTTTGAGCGATTGGCCTTGGGACGTGTTGATGATCATCGAAAATGTTGGTGCATCGAGGTTACGAAGCAAACTGATCGGCACACCAACCTTGATCTTGAGGCCGTGCTGCGGAAGTCCTGATGGGTTTTGAGAGTTCATGAACTGTACTGTGTTGCCAGAAAGCTGCCCCAGAATCGTCGTGTTGATTTCATTGATGATATCGTTCTTTGGCGCCAGGATAGCTCGCTCGCACAGCCATTCATGGTATTTACGCCCAAGTCTTCGAGGCCAGGGTATACGATTTCCAAAAGCTGAGCTCATGTGTCAACTTTGTTCGTGAGGGAATGTGGTATTTCGATAAAACATTCGTCGTCACGCAAAATTTGACCATTTCCACTTGAAGCAGCACATCGGAAAATTCTTGAACGCTCGAGTCTCCCATGATCACGGCCCTCACGTTGACGGTAAGCCTGTAGTGCTTCACGTGATGCCAATGAAGGGATTTCTTGAAGCATGCGTCAATCTCGTCCGCGGGAGTTCCTCGGTCAATAATGGGCAGAGTTTGACGAAAGTCCAGCAACACCACCCACAAAGTCATTGGAATCACGTAGGTCACGCAGTGTTGCATTGAGCAATTACAAGCCTTTATTGTGACATATGGTGCATTCATCGTTTTGCCAGTTCCACCGGGGGCGTCCAAAAATGATATACTTCCGCGTTCGCTGTTGATCGCATCCTTCAACTTGTTGTATACGTTGAGCTGTTTAGGGGAGTTCTCCAGTTGTGAGCGTCCATCTTCCACGATATTCAAGAGAGCTTGGCGGTCGTAGCTTTTTTCTCGAGCCATTACAGCGCAGAGCACACCGCGGCGCTGAAGTGGTACATCGATACCGAAGTCCTTCAGTCGTCCCCGAAAACATCAACACTTTATCTTCAATCATTACCAGAGATTCGTTGTGCATGTCGGCGGCCATGGCAAGTTCATGGTCGCCAAGTTCTTGGCGCAATCGGAACGGATGTCTTCAGACATGGAGTCTTTCTACTTGTCCCATAGGTCACTTGCACGGGCGGGAAAATACGCCGTCAAAACAATCACAAAGAGGTCGTGGATTTTGGAGGGGGACTTTGTTTCGTCAGTTCGTCCTTGAGGTGATTTTCGTCCTCAAGTAAGTCCGGGAGTAGTCGTGCTTGTGTGTACGTAGGGCATTCAACTTCATCCAGTTCGGAGCGACGAGAGCGAAGTGGAAACTCGGACAGTGTGAAGCAAAAGTTGCAAGTACAAACACTCTTGATGTGCAGGATGGACCGAATACACACGCCCCAATGTGTCGGTGACTTTGATCCCAGGCCAATTGTCCACAGCTTGGCCACGCTCGCGACGCTTCCATTTCTTGTCCGGCACTTGCCACGTGTAGTACGCAGGAATTTCGGCATACAGCAAGGTTCGAGAAAACTCGTCAACTTGATTCAGCTTGAAAAACGCGGTAAAAGTTGTATCACGCCGTTGCTCAATTGCGCGGTCGACCGACTCTGGCGTAAAGTACACCTCGCTCTCCGTTTTCGTGATGCACCGCCAATCGGACGACAGCAGGGTAACGGTCATGTATGGAGAAGTCAAGTATTCACCACAATGCCTCGTTGCTGTTGATGTTCCGCCCGACTTGGTATTGATTGATTTCATCATTCTCCACTGCCGCATAGTTGGAGTTCTTGGAGATCTCAAAACCGGCTTGATCGCTTTCTTGGTAGATGTACTTGCAAATGTACTGGATGGCCTTGACGACGTTGATGTGCGCATCGAAGATTTTGAAAAGGATTGGAGAGAATGGTGCGACGTATCGGTTGTCGTAGATATACATCTGACCATGCACATTCTTGACAAACATGCGGCCACCTTCCTCAAGACTTCGTCTACTATACAGCGGGTACCCTTCATTGTCCGTGCGTGTCTCGGAAGTGAATTGCCTGGGGTATCGCTCTGTGCACTTTCCACTATTCATGCAGGGGCATTTCGGATTGATTTGCCCACACGGTCCATGAAGCATGTTGTTGATGGCGATCTCGTAAAGCGTTGGGTCTTCTTGGGAATCAGGAATTTCAGCAGCGATGACGCTGTCGACTTGATCAGGGCGAAGCTTCTCGCGGAGCCACAGTAGAGCATGCGTATGAGGTAAGCCGCGCTTTTACCACTCGATTGTGTACATATAGGAGAGGGCATCGCCGTAGAGAACTTTCAGGAGCTTGATGAATTTGTCGTTCTTTTCTTCGAAGACTCTAGCAACAATGTTGTCCCGTAGAGTATTGGCTAACCCACAATATTGCTTCGTGATCTCAGGCCATTTGGGGTTGCATGTGAACGTGAAAAAGAGGCATGGTCAACCTTGAGTTCGCACAAAACATATTGCGTCTTGCGCATACAATTGCATATGACGCGGGCTTCCCGTGAACGGCGACGGCAAAATCACCTTGGTTCGGACTTGTTCGGGTCTCAAACCGTCACCACGAACAACGTCTCGTAAATGAACGTAGTCCTCGGCGCGGAGCTTGGACTGATTGCCGCGAATGTAAGTGAGCCGCTCCGACTCGATTTTCGCATACGTATCCGTCAAGAATTGACTGAAGATTTCGCGATAGAATTTCGTTCGCCCTGTTGAATCATCAAGTGGTGAGCGTAGAACTGTTTGCATGACACCGTTTTCAAAACAGGGTGGTCCGTGCTCGTCTTCACTTGAGGAATCGCAATATGGTAGCCATCGCGGCCGTCCCAAAAGATCAACGGGTGCTGCAAAGAATCGTACGCGGGGTTTGTTTCGGCAATTCGCTTCGAGCGGCCGTCTCTTTGCTCAATGACGATGTCACGATTCGACGTTGTATCTCCAGCAAGAATGATGGCGACCTCAGACGTTATTGGGGCGTTGTAGCGTCGATCGTGCTCGTTGGGGGAGTCTTGTCGGCACTAATGCGAAGTCTGTGCGATTGCTCCAAGGCACGAAACTTGCTGTTGAATTGCCGCTCCAAGTGATTGCGCTCATCCAGCATGTTTTGGAGCTCAACAACAATTTCCCGATGGGTTTGATCCATTCCAAGTGCATTCATGCGCCGCTCAATCTCCTTCGTTGGGTGAAGTAGATTTGAAGGTACTTCGTTTCTTGACCGCCTTGTGGAAGCAAAGTACCAATCCGATGGTAAACTTCACCTTGAATGCGACACGATGGCATAAATCCTTGACCTGATCGATTGTGTCCGCCCCAAAGCGCGTCATTTGGAACATGGAGTTGTACTTTCGGATGTACTGTACTTCCAGAACATTCAGGACACGTCTTCTGTGGGTGAACAACAAAATCTGCAAAAACGGCGGAGGTTGAGGCAATCGCTCCAAATGCACCTTTCCACCGCTGCAGCACATGTCAATCGACTCGCCTTTGAACTTCAACGCATCGCAGTAACGACACTTCACATTCATCTCGCCGATGTTCACCGCAATCGAAGCCGCGTAGTATTATCGGGTGAGTAGTTTAATCCCGCACGAACGAAGGGCTCGATTTTTCGAAATCGTGCAGCGGCCATTCGTTCAGCGTTCGCATTGCGACGACGATCGGCTTCTTCAACCGTCTCCTCCCGGCTCGCTACAGCTTGACGCTGGGTATCCATGTGGCGGCGTTGTTGATATTCCTCAGCGGAATCCTGTTCCCGGGCTCTCACTTGATGGTGGGCATTCGTGTCACGGCGTTGTTGAGATGCCTCGGGCGTTTAAGCCTCTCTTGCTTGGCGCTAGGCATCCAGTGCATGGCGACGTCTATCCGAATACATGCCTTGTTCGCGGTTGACAGTGGGCGGAGCCATCGAGGAGTTTAAAGAAATAAGTATCCGGGACCCATAGGTTTTAGCAGTTTTCGATAATACACGTGACTACAAGAACACTCTATAAATACACTCTATAAATACGTTACTCAAAATATATCAATTACTGGGATTATCCAAAGTGACAGGCAGCTGGTCAAATTCAAAAGAGTCGTCAAATGCACATTCGCCACTGCCATCGTCCATGCTGAGGCAGTGAACACTGCCACGGTCGTCGTCAGAACTACCGGAGTCTTGGTAATCGTTATCATCAATAATGCTAATGTGCTGATGCAGTTCTAATAGTCCTTCTCGGACTTTTTGATGCAGCTGAACACTATTGCCGACGTCACCGCCTCAAACGCTGCGTCCAAACGCACCTCGACGTCGTGAAAGGTAGTGTTTGTGTCGTATTGTCTCCCCACATCTCCTTTAACAATCGCCCACAATAGTTCAATAGGCTGGAGGTTGGAATGATGGGGCGCACTGTAAGCAACCTCGTGGTCAGCTGCTGCGGCCATTTCCACGACGACAGGTACAACAGTTGTCACGTAAGGTTGGAGTTTTGACCAAAGATTGACCTTTAGATCCCCTGGATTGTGTTCGATCCCCAATGCGACACAAACATCCAAGAAGTCGGCCTTGCGCCACGAAAACCTAGGTGTGTCATTGTTAGCCATAGGCAGACAAGGATTGAAGTTACATAGTTAAAGCTATATATATGTGATTGAAGCTGGAAGAGCTCCAGGCTTCACATCCTTCTACTTCAGTGTGTCGAAGGCCAATAGCTACCTTGTTTTGATCCACACACACTACTTGAAGGTTGCATATATTGAGAGATATGACAAACTTCAATCAGCGCAGCTAAGGTTGCACTACTTACATGTATGCATGTCTTTGGCGATTATAATTATGGAGGTTCTAGAGCTAAGCTCACTTCTGAATCCACCTTACTTTGAGCCACTTCCACTACATCTGTGTGTGTTGTGTGCCTATGTCTGTTATTTCAAGTATCGACGCCCCCTCCCCAAGTTCCCCCCAAGCCCCCCACATCGTCCTACAACTCTGTGATCATGTCCGACGCCACGACCAACGACAAGTCGATTACGGACCTCAAGTTCAACGGCTGGAAGGTCATGTTCACCACCTAGATGGCCCGCATCATCGCACACCTCAACTCCAAGTCAACGGAAGTTTCCTGGAATAGGAAACGAGCATGCCTTGGACGTGGAGCTACCTGGTAGCGACCACGGGGACTCTGTCCGATCCAGGTCGGATCGCTCGACGAGTCCTGCGGCCTGTGCACCGTGCGTGGACCGTTTTGAGGACCGCAGAAGGCCCAGGACCAATGCGACTGCGCGGTGGCTGTTCCGGTCACCACAAGGAAGGCCACAACCAGTGGCGGTTTATGAGGCCTGGAGTTACGGGAGACCGGCGACGTTTGCAGCTCCCGCGTAGGCCCCTACGCGGGACAAGAAAGATGTGGATATGGGACAGAACGACGTGCACCTGCACAACGCCCCGGCCCTCCCGAAGAACCCGACGTTCAAGGGATCTACCAAGGAAGAACGACGCATTTTTATGGCCGCGTACAACCTGTATATCAGCCAGACGAATGCACTGACGGCCGACGGGGTCGGACCGTTGATCATGCTCGTAAGAGCGTGTATCGAACCTGCAACGAAGCAACGTATTGCCGAATGAGACATGGGAAAGGATCTCGATGACGTGTCTGAGGGCGAATGGATTGCGTGGTTCAAGCAAGGTTACGACGTCGATCCCCGGGCCCTGGACACCCTGAAGAAGCGGATTAACGCTGCTGTTGTTTTTGATATGTCGATCCCGGCCGCGGATTCTCGGATCGGACGTATGCTGGATGGTTTGGCTGCGGCTATCCGTCGGGACCACCAGGAGTGGGTGATCGGGAAGAGAGCCAGGCGATCGTGAAGATCATCACGGACGCTGCCAAGCCTGCGTCGCTACACTGTGCCGTTACCGAGCAGATGGCGTTGACGCGAAACAAGCCTTTGAAGAAGGATGTGTACCGTTTCGTGCGCTGGTTGCGGGAATATGCGATCGGACATCGACAGCGAAGGGATGGTGTGTGCAACGCCAGAGCTGGGAAATGCGACGATGGTCCGGAGCGTATTGTCCTGGAAGCCAAGGTGGCCGAGGCGGCTTCCGCGGGCATGCCAACAGCAGCTGTTGAGCAGCTCCGAAACGTATTGATGGAGTTCCGAGACGTGTTCCGGCTGAAGTTCGGGAGAGACCCGCCACTGAAAATGGAACCGTTGAAGGTGCGCCTCAAGAAAGGGGTTGTGCCGGTGATGTCGGGACTGCGGCGCTGCCCTCCACCCATATGGCGTTCCTGGAAAAGCATGTCCGGGAGCTGGAAGAAGCGGGTCTGGTGTACCGCAACACTAGATCGCGCTGGGCCTCGGCCCCGAGGATTGTACCGAAGAAAGAACCGGGAGACCTCAGGATGACGATTGACTCGTGACCGACCAATGCGTGTACCAAGCCGATGCCCTGGTCCATGCCTAATCTGGAGGTGGCCATGGTTATCCTAAAGGGCTCGAAAGTTTACTTCAAACTGGACTGGATGAAGGGGTATTTGCAGCTGTCCTCACACCGGACTCCCAGGAGTATTACTCCTTCATGACTCCCGTAGGGGTTGTGACCCCGACCCGAGTCCTGATGGGCCAGACCGATGCGGTGGGTTCGGGGGCCTCCTGATGCACGACTTCTCGGATAGTTGGATTATTTGTTGGGGTATGCCCAGACCACGGACGTGTTGTTGCACCTACTGCGTAAAGTGCTTGAGATCTGCCAAGCCTACGGACTGAAGTTGCACCCGGGAAGTGTGTTTTTTACACTGCCCGGACAGTATGGTGTGGGAAAGAGATTTCGGCGGACGGCGTGGCGCATGCTCCGGAACGGATCCAGGACCTGTGTGATTTGGGGCCGCCACAGGCGGCAGCGGATCTCCAGCAGTTACTGTGCGCCACGAACTGGATGAGGGGGAATATCCCGCAGTACACGGAGCTGGTAGCCCCGTTCATGAAGCAGTTGGATATTGTGGCCAAAGCGGCCGACTCCCGGAAGAAGACGGCCTTGATGCGTGTTGCGCTGAGTTCTGTCGGGTGGTCCGGGGACCACCTGGAGTGTTTCGACCGGTATGGCCCCGTTGTCCCACCGGACCCAGACAAGATGGTGTGTTTGTATACCGACGCGAGCGAGGGGTTCTGAGGAGCTGTTGCGACACAGAGGTCCCGGTCGAGGATCTGGCCCTACCGGCGAGCGACCAGCGACATGAACCATTGGCGTTCCTAAGCGAATCGTTCCGGGGAACGAGGGGGCGATGGCCGATTGTGGAGAACGAGGCGTTTGCAGTTGTCGAATCGTGCAAGTGCCTGGAGTTTCTCCTGATCCGCCCGGGAGGTTTCGGATTGTTTACGGACCACCGGAACCTGGAGTATATAGTTATCCCTCTAGGGTCGAACTCGAACATGGCCAAGTACCAGACCCACAAGCTCCAGCGCTGGGCGCTGTCGATGACGACGTTCCTGTACGTCGTGGAGTGTGTGGCCGGAGAGGAGAACCTTTGGGCGGATCTCCTGAGCCGTTGGGAAAGTCCTCGTGGACCAGACCGGAGATTTCCGGTGGAGTTCCGGAGTGCCCGGATGTCCAGGCTGGCCCTGGTGTCCCTGTTACAGCACGAAGATTTTGTGCGGCCGACGGCGAATGCGATCACGGAATTGCATCGCGGCCATCCAACATGTGAAAAATACGCCTCCTGGAGCGCCGAGAAGAAGTGTTTTCTGACGGCATCTGGAAAGATTTGGATCCCGGGAGATGCATTGGATATGCAAGTGCGTATATGTGTGGTGGCCCATGCCGGCGTGGCGGGACACCGGAGAGTGGAAGCGACGACGGCATCTGTTGCTGATATATTTGATTGAACTTCCCTGAAGACCGACGTGAAGAACTTCGTCACTGCCTGCCTGCACTGTATGGTGATCGACGGTGAGTCGGTACCCCGTTCTGGGAGAAGGTCAACGCTCTGTGAAGCTGGCGAAATTTGCGTTGGGTGATTTTGTTTTGGTGGCCCGGGCTCTCCAGCATCCGGGAAAGCTAACGTTACGTTGGAAGGGACCCTTCCAAGTCGTGAAGGTGGTCTCCAACTACCTGGTAGAAGTCCAGCAGCTGGTGCCTCCGGGAGCGACGCCCCTGCACCATGCGCGCGGGCTCCGCCTGTACTGTGAAGGCGGACGTGGAGTCAATGAAGATTTGAAGGCCCAAATTGCGTTCGGCGATGAAGGTTTTTACGTGGAAGACCTCCGGGACCTGCGTCTGCGAGATGGGGTCTGGGAAGTCCTGATCAAGTGGCTTGGCCTGGACGATATGGAGTCGTCCTGGGAACCGACCCTGTCGATATAAGAAGACGTCCCTGTGCTATTCCGTTGGTGGACAAAGGTCCGGAGCAACGAAAACGGTGTGAGCGAAATGATTGACGATATCACGAGTTCATGTGGCCACCCGATGTAGGAGGGAAGTGTTATCGAGGGAAGTGTTATCGGCCGAGCCTCTGTTCGACTCCCCGTGTCTGAGTGTGGGTAGCCAAATGCTGGTCACGCACGACATTTGAAGAGGGTGACATATGACCTGGACCTAGAGAGGCATATGTTCCGAGCTGATGGTACACTGTACGATGCATGACTTGTATAGAATAGTGAAGTGAAATGAGAGAACTGACTGATTGACTGGATAATGAAGTTACTTTTGGAATTGTCATCGAGGTCACCGTTGTGAACACGGTAGTCGCCGGTTGCGAACACCGGCTTAAGACAACAGGGTGGGATTGTAGTGGTGGGTGGTAATCGCTTTGACTGCTAGTCAGTACCACCAACATCCCACCACCCACGCTCAAGTAACCGAAGTGGTCTTTGATAGGAACGGTAGTTGTGACTCCTGGGGCTCCAGAGGCCGTGACTGGGGTTCATTACTATGTCTACTCCTAATCTCGACTGTGGAGCTGTATATTGGTGATTGCAGGGTAGCTGTTGATGTGCCTTGCTACGAGAGTAGAAGTTGAGGTCACAGGAGTTGGTTAGGCAGGTTGGGTGGGTGGGCGTGGGTTCGATGCGTTATTTTATGTATGGAAAGGCTGCTGACTGCACCAGCGCCGCGCGGCCAAGTAGGCACCTAAATTTAAGATGCAAGTTTTACGCTTAGCGGAGAAAACGAGTTCAGCATACGCGGCCATGACGACCGGGTTCGCTGAACGCAGCGTCCCCCTGTGGGTACAGATTCAAGGAAAACTGTCAAGCTTCAAAGGGTCTAAAACTCGCAAGAAGAACACCGGCACCTGCCGATAATTCCCGACAGTCATGACCTCGTGAGGTTCCTGAAGGACATTGCGCGGCTACTTGTCATCTGTTCAGGGGAGAAATTGGGGCGAAGTCCTATGGTTAATTGAGTTTGGATTATCATTTTTAAGACATTCCTCCGCGAGGGCCGACACTAGAACCACATGTTATGGAACCGCTTCGCCAATTGTAACGCGCCTGCTCGACCAGGGGCGGTGTGTAATCTTCGGTTTTTACTTCGCTAAACGCTTCATACCTCGTGCTTCGACCGATCTTCTTCGAAGTTCGGTCCTCGTCTTCGTACGCGGCCCTTGTTATCCGGATTCCCCAGGGGAGGGACGGATAAATCCTTGC